TACCATCCCATTTCTTGCCCTTGTAGTTTGTAGTATAAAATAATTTATCACAGAGATTTTGGAGAATGTGGCTGTAAAGTTTCTGCACATGTTGATCTACTTAAAATAATTTCCAAGACACTGGCTTCATGATATTTCAGCAATTGTTCTTAAATGAGTGAAAATTATACCTTTCATTTACTTTTTCAGTAGCTTACAATAAACTGGCTGAAAAGTCTTTTTTATCATAGATGTTGAAGGATTTTATTTTGTCATAAATTTGAGAGGAGCAATTTTAGTGGCTTGCATTTTCTAAATTTTCATAAAATATTTATTTTCCATCCAGCAGAGTACTTCGTATAAATTACATTTTATGAACATTGAACTACAAATTTTATCCAGAAGAAATGTTTTAATGTGTAACATTTTTAAGTATTATATACCTATCAAGTTTATATTTCTATTAAATGACCTGTATAGATAACAAATAAAAGATTTTGTCTTTCTACTTAAAGATTATTTGTAATAAGCAGCAGAACATTTTATTAATTTTGGGGGTTATCTAAAATTCATTGTTTTCCCTGGTGCTTGGTGTGAGATTAAATGAGGGAAGAATAAAGAATCCTCACTGCTGCATTTTAGTCCATGTTGATTGTTTTTATTGTGTTTGTTTCTAAATGGATAACACTTGTCTTTTCTTTCTCTTTCTATCACGTACGTGTATAATGCCTTACGTGCTTTCTAACTCTCATAGATTCATTTGCACTATTTGGAGAAGATGCTCTTAAAGGAAATTGTCATGTCTTGTATAACTTGTATACATCTCATATCTAGAAAAACTGTGCAAAAAATACCAAAAAAAAAAAAGAAAGAAAAAGAAAAGGGGTATATGTAAAATGTGACAAAGGGTTAAATTCCTTACTATGCACGTCAATTAAAAAGTCTTCTTTGGCCAAAAAAATAAAAGTGCAAATTGAAGTGATCTGTATTCTTCCAGATGGAAAAATCAAGAGCCTGGGCACAAATGACCATGTTTTATTTGTCCTGTTTGAGCAATTTTAGATTCACAGAGAGGAAGCTTCTCCAGATTGGGACTAGAGTGACTATGGAGAATAGAACTTAGCAGCCTCCTCAGGATGAACAGGACACACACACACACACACACACACACACACACACACACAGAGATTTGGGGATTTGGGGTTGTTTTACCTATACCATAACCTTACCTATGTTATGTGTGGTCATGGTACCTGTTGCACTGTCTTAATTTTGATCCTGACATTCAAAGTCATCCATCCACTTTTTTTAACCATATCTAAAATTATTGCCCACGGGCCGGCCCGGTGGCGCACTGCTACAGTGCGCCGCTTGGGAGCGCGGTGGCGCTCCCGCCGAGGGTTCGGATCCCACATACAGACCGGCCCCTCACTGGCTGCGCGCGGAGCGGGCGCGACACCAAGGGATGCG